GGCGATCAGTACGTACGGACTGGATCCAACTGGAATGGCCAACTGAGAGACTATCAGATTCTATTCCAAGATAACGTTAAATAAAGATAAGTAACTCTTGAATAGTACATTTAATTAATAAACTCACTTGAGACTTCATTAACCGCGTATTAGCATCGTTTTATTGGGGGCTGTGAGTCAGATTCTGCAGAGCTTAGGGGCAAAGTTCATAGTCAGCTGATCCTGCTATTCGCACTATCAAGACAGAAAATGCAAGAGGCTCTCAAGTTTTCCAATCACCCTACATCCTACCATTTCCATGCGTCACCTGTAATCATCCGTCTTCACTAATGGACCAATCAAAACCACAGGAACATATCGCGGACCATATCTCGATTTGCCATGTTTGTTAGCGCGATACTTAACGTTGCGGGTCAACACATTTCTCTGTTATTTAATCCAATTACATTAATCATGCTCCTGCCTCACCAGTAAGCACGTTTACCGTCTACCTGATGCTGTCGTTCGGAACAGACGCGACTTCCAACTCGTGTGAAAGGGCGTTGGCCGTTTCTCGCTGTACCTTTTTGCAATTCCAGGCTCAGGGCTCGGACCGCATTCACCACGAGCCAACGCTGGTCAGGCCGCCTGTCACTGAGGCACGTTTCGCGGCTTCCACACAGGGTGAGACAGACAGACAACAAACGAAACTTGAAGCACGACGCATGCGCCGACGTAGATGACTCTCAGCACAAACGCAGTCTGTCTCAGATGTCCGCCTTGATCCGGTCTTGCATTAACAGGTGCATTTACGTTCGTGGCTGCACACACTGGCGGGCGGCGTTCCAAGGGCGCATTTGCATCTGATCTCGCACAAGCGTACAAAAATACAACAGCAACAGACTGCTGTGTCCGTGGTTTTTGACAGAAAATGCAAGTTAAATGGTCGCCTCTGTTTTTACATGCAAGGCACAAAATTTCACACGTCGTTGAACACCACGGAAATGCTTGATGTAATTCAGTTAAGAGCTTTCATCACTGCTGACTGAAATAGCATCTGTAACGAAAAGTATAATTCTTCCTGTTGTTTACGTGGGTATCAGCCTTGATAATTTCTCGATCTGTGAGAACAGGACACTCAAAAGAACATTTAAACGTAAGAGGCAGGATGTATACAGCTGCACTATGAGCTTCATAACGTGTACAGTCCTGTTTATTTGTTGTGACAAACGTTACTTAAATGCGCAATAGATGTGGCAGACAACAATCAGAGCATAGAATTTTGACGCATCGTATAGGTTAAAAATAAGCAACTATCAGCTAATCGAATTGTTTGTGTTCGATGCCGTTTTATTTACCCGACCTTTCTTCGGGCAGCTACGACTGGATGCCAGTACTTGTTGCGCGCAGCACAGCGGCCATGATAAAAGAATCGGACTGTGCATTTTACAAAATATTAGGTTGGTCAGACGGTCGCAACATGTAGCAAGCACGGGGAGACGAAAAATGCACGCAAACGCTTGGTATAAAAAAAGTGTAAATGGAAGAGGTCACTTGACAGATCTGATCTGATCTGATCTAATCATAGATAAGATAATTATGATGGATCTTAAAACATAAAAGCGAGGTTTGGACTAAATTCAAGCACGGTGATGAACCGAGCATACAGCCTGCAGTAAACATTCATGCCGACGCAATGGATGTCGATCCCTCCCCCCCATCTGCACTGGATAAAATTGCGACGGTTCTTTGCCAGACAAACGTACAACTATTTTGAAAGTTTATATGAATTTTGTTCTTTGTCGTCAAAGCCTAAACAGCGATTACGTTTTTTCAATATTAGTTGCTTCCGGATGTCCAAAGTTAAAGAAAAACTGGGCTGAATTAAACGAAATTTAAATTTGAGTCGGGTTGTTGTGAACTTCTCGAAGATAACAAGTGTGAATGATTCTAGAGACGGTTGATATGATATAGCGGAATATTCCCCGCATGGCTGCGCGGCTGACTGGGAATCCCCCAGCGAAATTCACGTGCTGGGATTTCTGCATGAGGTAATTAACTGTGTGCGGGGAGTCCGTAATTTCAACAGCAAGTAGGTTTTCACGTAAACTGTCCGTTACAGTTGACGGACTTGTCGAAACATTTTTGTAAATCTCCCCAACATCAAATTTCCTGAAGAACCCATGAACAGTCCTCTAGCTAATGGCTGGGGCGAATGTCCTTAGAGTATCGATGGCTGTCCAGGGTACTGCCACTATCGATTCTTTCCACATCTGCCACATAGAATCACCGAATAACAAACCATATCAATCAGTGACGCAAGTAATCAGCAGTGGGGGGGGGGGGCACACGTAGAACAATCATTTTTCACTGCCTCCCCGTCTCCTGCGAAATTTGAAGCTACTCTACCGCGTTCACAACAGCACACCACCGAACAACTAAAATTCATTCCACACCCTAACATCATATTTCTACCAAATCCATTTTAATAATATCCTCCCGTCCATGTCAACGTTTTCTAATTGGTCTCTGTTCTTCAGATTTTTCGTCTAAAATGTTGTGTGCATTTATAATTTCCTCCATGCATCGAACATGTGCAGACCATCTGATCAACCTAATAATGTAAAGGTGTCCTGGGTTCGAATATCCTCCCCAGCCAACCTCGCGCTAAAAAGAGTTACTGAGTATAATGCTGATAACACTAACCAACACTGGTGAGCGCAGTGTAGACGTGTCTTTGGTATGTGTTTCGTTAACGACACAACGCATCAAAATATTTATTTTAACAATTTTTTAAAGTTAAATTCGACGTAAGTGCAAAGAATGGGTCATAGCAGACCGATCAGTCAAAACAAACTTCAAAAGAGAAATTTCTATGTGGCCTTCCCTTCCCGATTTGATCCAAATCATCTGCCGGGAGATGATTTCGGATATGAGGCACGCAGAAGGGATACACGACCTTCCCGTTACGCGTTCATCTGATGCAGAGAACGTTGACTCCGGTCTCGCTACGGGCCGCCGGGTTTTTCACGATTCACAGTGGCTGCACGCGTCGTAGTACAGAACGAGAGACAGTTCTCAAACGAAGAAAATGTGCGAGGAATTCATTCATCCTCAGAACATTGCTCTCTGACACAGCGGACGAAACGACCTTGCCTCATTCGACACGACCTCGCAACCGCCGGGGCTCCTCTTACAACGCCAGGAGTTGAGCGCGGTCACGTGACGCATGACCAGACCTGCTCAAGTCGAGGAAATAAAACTGCCAGCTGCTCGCTCACCTGAACGAACGCGGCAACAAATGGACTGTCTTCGCACACGGAAGACGGAGTGCTGTCGAAACTTTCCCAGGAGATTTGAGATCAAAAACGCCTCTCCCGCTGTATGTGCTGGAGACTAGGGTTTAATCCCCGCCCCAAGACCAATTATACAGAGGATTTTCGTAACAGTTCATCGGCCCTTCAACGCGGGAAACCAAAACAGACCACCAGGGCGTTCTCTACAATTCATCATAATCCTTCCACCACACGCCACATAACATAACAATTATCGTTAAATAAATCACCGTAATGTACAAAATAATCATTGGAATAAACGCAAACGCTAAAACGATCCGTGCTTAATTAAGTACCAAGGCAGGAACACGTGCGATACATTCCATGGAATCTTAACCTCGGCACCAGACAGTCATCGATTAGCTGCACGCACTGCCCGTGTTTTGCTTTTCGGGCCCCCCTGCCCCGGAAACGGACGGCGCACAATATTGGTCAGGGAGCTGAGTGGACGACATATGCGACGCAGAGGAATGTCCCTGCCACTGTCATAAATCGACCTCGGGTCCCGGCTCACGACGATGACGACTATAAGTTGGCCTGTAAATCCGAGGACATCCTACGAAAGCAACGTTGCGTAAACAGGCGAGAAGGAAGACACGCGGTCCCGTAAACGGAGATCAGAGGGAAGTTACCTTACATGCAATTCGCCGGAAAGTGTTCTTCTTGCCTTGTTCTGCTGGTACTTGTAGGACATCAAAACAAGCTTCTCAGCTAGAACGGGGAACAAAAAATTGCATGCAGGATTTCGAATGTAAAACCTCGCAGACGTTTACAACGTGAAACACTAAAAACACTGACTCCTGGATTAAGTGACGACGCCGTTAAACTGCTGAGTCTGTTTAAATATACGCACGCGCACAGAACCTTGGCTACGGCTTCTAATAATGAGACGAACTTATTAAATCTCCATAAAAACATATGTTTCTGCCTCTCTTACAAGGGCATAACATGGAATAACCAATTCGTTAACGACGACGTCTGGCACCCTGTCCTCGCCTCAACGTCTTTGCATGGAAACAAAATGCACCTGTGGACAGCGAAAACTTTAACGGGACTTTCCTCTACCCTCGGGTGTCAGCAACACTCTTTTGAGCAATGCCGAGTGAAACATTTCAGTACCCTCAGAAAATGTATGAAAAAATTGCAATAACTTCAGTAAGAACGAGGCTTGGAAAACAAACAGAATGGCTGAATCTGCAAAAGAAGATAAAAGTGTTAAGTGCGGAGGATAAAGTTAATGCGATAAAACAAATCGACAGTGAAAAGAAAAAACCTGTTGCGTTCCAAGAACTTGCATTGCACAATTCCGCATTTGAACCCTTTTGGAAAATGAGATCTAATTCACATTTAAAGTAAATATCATTGGTGTACGCAATGATCCTACGCGTTTCTTCTTGAAATCTGATTTAATCCCTTCGTCAGTAAAAACTACATTCGTTTACGACGACGTAATTTCTCCGGTCCTTCGGATGACGTTAATGAGATGAGACTCTGATAACGAATGACGTACATGCGGGAAATCTGACAAGCTGAGCGACAATAAGCTTCTTAAGAAGGCCACAACGCCTTGCGGTTGGGCTTTATTACGAAGCTGTTCATTTTGCAACTTTCTCGTCAACGGGTACAGCCTACTCGCTGCTCACAGTGACGAGACCAGGGGGGGGCGGCTTCGCGGACCCTACTTACCGCAGGCTGATGTGTGTAGGCAGCATTTGTGTGGCCCATGGGGGTCGCATACCTCAGCGACGGGAAGGGGTTAGCGCCCCCGCCCCACGAGCTTCCTCGGTAGATGCTGTTCCCCCCGAGATTAGTCTGCTGTGTTGCGATGTTACCGCCCACAGGGGGACCTCGAGGACCACTTTTACCCTGACCACTGTTTCCCGCATAAGTTGGTCGAGGTCCATTGGTCCCCTGAAACAAAATAACATACATTCTGTGAGATTTATGGCTTCCAGAAAGGGTCACATGGCAAAGTTAATTAATTATGTTCACGTCTCTTGTTACATAACGCCCTTCCTCCATGCCATGCATCTTCTGTTATAACCGCCCCAGTCCCCTCGTCGATTTTCTGCAGTGTATATACCAGGTTCGGATATCACATGTCATCGCAAGTTGTTTATTCTTCAAGTATACACTTGTGGCCACATCGATCTCCGGTGCTCGTTTCTCAGTAGTGGAGAACCTGACTCGAAAAAGATCTGTTCGAGTAACTTGCTGCAGCCCCCCTCCCCCGAATGTAGAACGCCCCTGGTTCCTCGTGCTTTGCCTTAATGATTTTGTTCACGAAGTAAAGTCCTGCGCCCTTACGTAAGGATTCTGGGTGCTGTGTCACTCACTGGATAGCACATGTTAGATCTAACTTTATCCTCATTGAAAAACTGGCGTTTCAGCCAATAAAAATATAGAGTAGCACAAAATATCCCCCAACTCAACAATTAATTAAAAGGACTTAACACAATTCCTGGGTTCGCATCTGACCTGCCCCATTTTGCAACTAATGAATGCAAGAGCCAATCACAGTCCACAACTAAGATTCACAAGACGAAAGGTGGAGGGAGGGGTTCAAGGTCAGAAATTTCTGATCTTGAAAGTTTACAACCAAAAATTTGTTCCAGGCCGGGAAACCTGCAATACGCCATCCTGACAACGCACCCCGTCCCTTTCCAAAATTATTCCAACGGAGTTTCTACAGGAGTCACATTTTCTTTCCCAGTTGCTCCAAGACGTGATCTAAGAGTCATGGGCCTTAATTATTAGGCCTAAATCGTGGGGTTTACCAAACATGAAAAACGGTCATGGAAACAGGTGTGCGTAATCTCATTAACTGAGACGCTTTTAAGTTTTGGTACAAACACTGACAGGCGTATTATATCCAGCGTCCAGTTTCCTTCCGGTGGGTACCACAACTGTGTCGCATGAGTTATCATCACCAGAAGATAATGAAAACTAAATCTTCCTTCCACCTGTGCTAGTCATGTATCACTAGACATGTGATCTCCATTCCGTATAAACAAATCGAGAGAGCGAGAGAATGCAAAATACCGACGAACAGTTGGACAACCTCAGATAAGCAATCAGCACAACGTCGGCAAATACAGTTAGCAGTGCCGTCCAGTATGTGGATCTCTTGAGGTTCAGTTCGCGTTATTGTGACGTGTAGTCTGGTGGAAGTTTATCCACGTTTCAGAAGTCCTTGCTGCTTCCATCATCAGGGCGGAGAGTGGTTTCTGAAATGTTGGTGGACATCTAACAGACTACACGGCGCGACAACCAAGAGGACATCAATCTTCAGACTCACCGCCGTGAAAATCTCAAATCCTACACAATATATAGATAATTCATAAACAATATTTTTTAAAAACTGACGTTTCGTCAAAGACATACCGACTGTAAAGGAATTAAAGACACACGATTTAAAACAATTTCCGTACATAACAGCGGCATTGTTTCCGAGAATCATCATACGGATGACGTATGTGCTATGTTTATCACAGCAAATAAATGTTTAAGGGCGAGTCTGTCAAACAATCGGCCAGAATGGCTGCAGCTGTGATAATAGTTCCCACAAAGACATCAGATAAGCGTAACGAACAGCATATACATCCGTTGCCAAGTGCAAAGCTGATACACTCGATCACAATATGCACTGTCGAATCAAAATCCGTTTTCGGTATCTTTACCAACAACGGGTAGCAACCTCATAAATGTTCCGCCCTTGCTAATGTAACCTACTGTTCAAGAGACATTGAAGGAAAAGGTTGTCGGTCTCAGGATGGGATGTTCAGAGCCGGGCAGTGAACTTTCCGATTACAAAACTGCAAACGTGACGTTCAGCCGAATATCCTGAACTGCATAATGAAGAACCCAGGTTAGTCCGTTCAACAACGTACATCACTCTGAAGATAGCTGTCTAGGTCTGTAGTTTCGTAGAAGTTTACCAACGTTCCAGAAGCCACTCACCGCCCTGAAGATGGAGGCAGCAAGGACCTCTGAAACGTTGGTATGCTTCTACCAGACTACACGGTGCTACAACCCAGAAGACTGCCATCTTCGAAAACAAATATCGAATACGTAACAGCCACAGAATTCATAAAAACACGCGAAAAAGGGAATAAACATAATTTTTTACCAGTAATCAACAGATTATTAAGCCAAATTCCGGAATTAGTCAGAGAGCCCCCCTAAAAATACAAAATGTTCAAAATATATTCTAAACAAAAAACAAATCATGCACGTGTTTTCAAAATGGCGAAGAAAATGTGACATTTGTGTTCGCGTTCTTGAGGAACTAGTCCTGGAAATATCGGCCCGAATGTTCACTGTCCTGTTGAAAAGAGGCCGCCACTGGCCCTTATCGCGAGAGAAATGAATCCACTTTCACGACCTCGAGCCATTTTTTAAAATCTATTTTCAGAAATGGTCGAAACGACGTTAATTACAAAATGCTTAAATGTGCATTATGATCGCGTAAAGATTATCTCCAAGACTCCGTGTGTGTTACAAAAGTGCTACAATTTACAACAGTTAAACCAACTGTTTAATTTCATCAATATGGACAAATAAAATATTGACACTGTGTGCCCCAAATAACTCAACACGTTAAACCTAAAATTATAGTGGCACGACCGCTCAAGACGCGTTATCCCAAATATTTCTTCCGTAGGCTAACGGCGTTGTTTTGTCGGAAGTTTAATAAAAGTCACGTAAGTCACTCTAACTTCAATCAATGTGCTGAATGTCTGAAGCTGAGTGACAATGTTAAGATGAAAGTCCCTGTTGAATTTGCTTCATCGCCTTTATAAAGTCTACAGCAGAGAGCCAGCAGCGTTAATGATGGGAAATTCTAGAAATGTTAAAAAAAATCTCTTTATTAACCTTTGTTGCCCGAAAGGATGTTCCACTGGCCCGATCATTCGATATGCAACACTAAAAACCACAGAAAAAAACATTATCTCTAAACCTAATACTTTCCACGAGACTCGAATTCAGGACAGTCTTCGCGTTTGCAACCACAGTTCTTGTAACCTATTCGCCGAAAGAAAGCATTTTCGTGTTTGGCCATCGTGAACAGTTTCCGACCTACACGAACTATCCTCACCGGGACACGAAATTAAGTAAAATATCAGAGTTTTAGCCTTCCCGAAATCTCTTCATTGTCTCAAGGGATAAGCATTCCAAGTTTGGTCCAAATTGGTTTATCCGTTCTCCAGCTATAAGAAAACATACACACAATTTCAGTTTTATATAAAGTACAATACGAAGTTTACAGATTTGAAATTTGTTTTACAATATTGGTGCCCAATACACATTCTTCTGGTTGCGAAACACCACTTATATACTGCATTCTGTTGAATGAAACAGCTCTGTGGTCTCAAAAATGGCTTCTTCCCTTCAGGATTTCGTACTAAAATTCCGTGAGTACTTCTCGTTTCTCCCATGCGAGCTACATGTCTTCAAGATTCATTATCTCAATATCGCATATGAGAAGGGACAAACCAAAGTGTACGTAGAGCATAACAACTGTCGTGTGGAGTGTAGTAACGGAGCAACATTGGAACGCATCAGTGCTCATTTATGCGTTTTCACGGCACAAATGAACGAACGACGGATGTGTGGGAGTAAGAGAGGAATCACACCGGTTAACGCGTTCCTGTCATAATTAGTCAGCACCTGGAAATCAAAGGGTAATTATAACCGCTGCTCCAATTAGCGTAGAAATATATTCCGCGACAATTACTTGCAATTCTAAAATAATTTATAATTACATATAACGACCTAACGTCGCGCTGGCATTGAGGCTACTTTTTGAAACGTCGAAACAGAAGGCGTTTCAGCAGCGCCCACCTAACCTAACTTAGAAACACTACACATTCCTTGAACTTTTACTAACAGACCAGGTTTCGGTGACAAACACCGTACATTTCCTTTGCGAACACCGACAATTCTGTGGCATGAGAACTGCTACATCTCGCATTTTTTTTTCCAACTGCCAAGTGCTGAAGAATGCAGTAAAATATAAATTTGGCCGAAAATATCAATTTCTAAATTTAAACACGGAAACAAGTAAAGACACAGCGAACCACGGTGAACGAAGATCTAGAAGCCTGTTTAATGCGTTATCACAAACCTCACAAACGGAACACGGGAAAGCGAACAATTTGGAACACTGAACTACACAAATACCGAAAACCTGATTATATAAACGATACTAAAGTCATATAAACTTGATAAGAGGATAAATGCTTAATGTGCGAATTAATTATGGGAAATCAGCTGATGCACAGGATGGTGCACGAAACGCCGTGATATCTGATCGAGATTCGAACTGGCTATCTCAAGGCTACAAACCAGGAAAGTCACCGGATCCATGCGATCATACTGATCTCACTTCATCCTGCCAGACGAAAAAACTCTTCACACGAGTGTGGAAATACTATAATTCTCAGACCCCGGGCGTTCGTGACAAGCAAGACATTGCGAACGGATTCCAAAGTTCTTCCGTTGCCCTTGGGTTTTCGCCGATGACGTTCGATGTGCAACTTAAGTTTCGGATAAGTTCCACGTCAGATTTTGAATACTGACCACCACTTCGACGAACATTGCAGTTGCCATATTGAGACGCCAACAGCGCGCTAAGCCAGTCAAGAAGTCTCCGCCTTTTACGAAACCAAAATTTCATTACCGTGTTCACATAAGCCTGTCAAAGCTCCCCGTTCATGACCCATATAAATCCAAACCACACTCCCATAAGATCCCATTTTAATATTATCCTCCGACCTGTGCCTGCCTCTACCCTGCAATCTTTCCAACCACAATTTTGTACGCATGCCCCCCCACATGCGCTCTACACGTCTCATCCATCTCATCGTCCTTGACTTGATCAAGCTAATAATATTTGTTTAACGTGTACT